CAAATTTAATTGATTATGTAAGTTTTATATTTATATTTATACTTAATGTATTAATTATTCAAAAACATTTTTGAATTAATATCAGATTTTATTAGAGTATCATATGGGAGTATTTCTAGAAAAATCAGGTTTTGAGAATTTTTGACTAAAATTAAGAGCTTAATACATTTTAATCTAATAACATTAAAAACTAAAATACAATAAAAATCTCAATTTTGCTAAAAAATTTTTGGAACCTGATTTTTCTAGTAATCAACCCATATGAATCTATTTAAAATTTATATATCATTGAATTATTAGAGTTAAAGTTTTTCTTATTAATAAAATTTTATATATTTTAAGTCTTAGTTTTCTTTGTTATTGTAGTATATTTCTCATTGATAAAAAATTTAACATCACACAATAATAGAAATTCTGTAATTATAGTAGCTGATAAAAGAAATGCAACAACTTATTTTTAGCTTTAAAAGTTTATAACTTATTAATTATAAATGCTAGAAATATAATTTTTGATTCATTTAAATTCTTACATTTTGAAAAATATCCTATAAAAATTTATTAATCAATTAATAATACTAATTTTGTATAATGTAAAGATCTATATTAAAAATAATATTTAATGACTTTTGAACTTAAAAATTTTTTAAGCAGACTAGCTATCATAAAACTGATTTTGAATTCTGATTCTCCTTTACGTGATGATTTCAACAAGCTAAATTTTGTCTAAATTAGACTATCTAATTAGAAAATATCACACAACATAGATTAGTATTTTACTATATAAAATTAGTTAGATTCATTTTTTATAATAAAATACCAATCTTTACTATGTGATATCTCCTGATTAAATGGTCTAATTTAGATGAAATTTAGCTTATTTACTATCAAGTTTAGTATTAAGCTTAAAAAGTCATGTGAAAAGCTCATTAGTAAATTTTAGTATTAATTTCTGAGATAAGATTTTATAAATATCAATAAGATTTTTTTTGATTTCTGTAATTATAGTTGTATTATTTTTAGTGTTTGAAATTGATCTGAGTTAATCATTATCAGTTAACTAGTTGATTTAGAACTAACTATAGAGCTAATCAACTTTGTCAGTTATTAGTTAATTAATTAATTATACTGCACTAATTTTAGTTATTGTTTGTAATTATTTCAAAAAAATATCTCTTAAAGATATTTTTTATAAATTTCTTTTTTAAATTTTTTTTTACATATTTAAAAATCCATAATTTATTTTTGAAAATAAAATATAAAATGAGTAATTTAATATTTTAGAAAATAATCAATTATATAATAATTTAAAGTCAGCTTTCTCTAATTATGACAAGAAAACTTTTACAATATCACATATTAAGTTATTCTAATAAAGTAACTAGCAGAAAGTCGGGTTTGATCATTTGTTTAAAAAAAAAGTCAATGTTATCAAATACTAGTTAAAAATAATAATAGTATTAAACATTGATGTGAATGGTCTTATAAAAATAAAATAAGTAGAATTAGTATTGCTAATCATTTAAGAATAAAATACTGAATAATTGAAAAAAAAGTTAAAGAATCAAATATTATTTTATTAGATTCAGAAAGTAAGGTTAAGAATTAAAATTCTCTTAAACAAAAATATAATTGAAACTATTACAAATGATTTATTAGATTCAATAGTCAAAATATTCAAATCACCTAAAATTAGATATTTAGGCTAATTTTAATACTATTTACAGCTGATTTACCATATTTTTTGATCAATACAAACACATATTGATAGACACTAATTAATTTCAATTAGACATAGCCATTTAATATTAATTTAGAACTTAAATTCAATGATAAATTAATCTAAAATTAACTTTAATTTGACATCAATTCAAATTCTGATTGATATTAATCAACTCTAATCAGACAAGTAATTCAATAATAAATCAGCCTAAAATTAGCCTTAATTCAGTATTAATTTAGCAATAATTTAGATGTTATTGACTTTAATTAGATAAGCAAATTCAATCATAAATCAGCCTAAAATTGGTCTTAATTCAGCATTAATTTAGCAACAATTCAATTGCTAATCAACATTAATCGACTTCAATTAGACAAGCAATTCAGCACATAAAATTAATACATTTTATTTATTAAATTTATCAAATATTAAAATTTTATTAATAATAAAAACCTAATATAAATTTACAAAAATATAAAAAATATCACTAAAACTTACTGATTAATTTCCTAATAAAAATAGAATAATAAAATAATAAATATGATTTATTTCCTTTCAAAATCCTCTAAGATCAGATCTTTAATATCATAAAATCTGCTGATCTTAGTGGAATTTATTAGTTTCTCACAACTGTGTAATTTAAGCTTTATGTAATATCTGCTAGTAGCTGTAATTTGAATTGATAGATATCTTAGCATAAAAGTTTGAGAATACTAAAGAGTCTCTAATAAAATTTAGTAATATAAGTATTTTTATGCTAAAAGTCACTATAATCAGGAATTAATTAGATAACTTAGCTAAAAACTTATTGAAGTTAGATTTTTTTATTAATTTTTTTTTTTTAGTTTAACAATAATTTGAGTTACTTGTTTTTGTATTGAATTTAAATTTAGAATAAGAATTATTTTTAGAGAAAAGAGAAAAGAGAGAATGTAGTAATAATCTAGTTATTGTGTATTAAGAGAGATTCTATTAGTAATTATCTTCTGAGTATAACAAAATAACTGATTAGTTTAAGACTAGTAAGTTTTTTAACTTGCAAGAACATTTTAAACAGTTTAATTTATTTTTTTCTATTTTTTGTATCTGATTTTCAGGATTTCTGTGGATTTGAATTTTTCACAATAAATATAAGCATTATTATATCTTTAAATAAAAAAAAATAATTATAAGATATAAAATTTAGTTTATTAAATTCATTATATTAAGATCTATTAAATGGTAGTATTTTTATATTTTTAAAATTGATAGATAGCAAGATATATACTGTAAGTTTAAAATTTTTTAATTTTTACTTAAAAAATATCATAAATTTTATTATAAATGTATTAATTAATAATATATTTTAAAATATTTAAAAAATAATTAAAAATAATTGTAATTAATAAATAAAATTGTTTACAAATTTGTAGACAAAATAATTGAAGGAATAATATTTAAATAAATTTAATTAAATTTAGTGTAAGAAATTTTTTTATTTAAAAAGTTTTAAATATAGTGTACTTTTAATATATTTAAAAGTATTGTTTATGAATTTTCTTTACATAGATCTTTTAAATTAATTTTATATATTATAAAAATAAAATATAAAATAAAAATTAACTATATTATAGTTTAATGTTTTTATTACTTGTAAATAATTTAATTTAAATATTTTAATTTACTATAGTATTTTATTTTCATTAATCTTGCTTTATTAATTTATATTAATAAATATATTTTTAAGAAAACTTTCTTAATATATATTTTTAAATTTAAAATAATAACTAAAAGTAATTTTATCTTATTAACTATACATTTAAATATAGTAAAATTTTTTCTTTAATTATCTATAATTCTAATATTTATTGTATAAGCATCATATTTTTTAATTATAATAGGATTGATATATTAAAATTAGTTTTTAATATGAATTAGATTTTTTTGAATTATAACTAACATAAGTCAAACTCGAGTTAAAGTCATAATGCGGGCCGGAAAAGTACAATGCAGGCCAAAAAATTTTGTGATAATTTGGGCCGAACTTAAAAAGAAATTTTTATTCAATGAATTATATATAGTATAATAAATGTTAATTATAAATGCAGCTTAAGAAAAAAAATTACATGCTATTTATAAAATATAGAATAAATTTGAAGTTGACTCGAGTAGATTTAACTCGAGTCAACTCGAATTCTGACTCGAATCAAGAAATTTTGACTCGAATCAGAATTTTACTCGAGTTAAACGAAAACGAGTCCAGTCTCTAACCTGGTAAATTTTGAAATTTATATTTTGGTTAAACAAGTCTAATTTTGGCTAAATAACTTAATAAATGTATTAATACTTATTAGGAATTGATTGGCATTTGGCTGTCAGCCAAAAGATTTTTTGGCCAATTTGGCTGATCAAATGGCTAAGAATTTTTAAATTTTTGAGTAACGGGACCTTGTAATTAGTAATTTTTTTTTGTTATACGAGACTATTATATTCGTGTAACCACTACCCTTTTTTTGGCGGCCAAATTGGGCCAAATGGCCAAGGGCCAACACTGCTTTAGAGTAACTGCATAAAATAATTTAAACTTTCGCTTATAACTTTGATAATTAAAGTGATGTTCTCGTGAAATGTAAAACATAAACTAATTTAGCAGTTTCCCCATTGGGTAAAAAATGCTTTTATTTTTACATTTAATTTATAAACATCATAACTAAAAGATTTCTTGATAATTTTTGGATCTTAAAGAAAAATGATCGCCTTCATTAAAAATATTCTAATATTACCCAAAAAGTATTTTTACAGGGTGGATATTTTAAAGAGAGATTTCTGGGAAAAGGGACCAAATCATCAAAAAATTATTTTTTTAAATAATGAAAGTACAAAAAAATTTTGATTTGGTACCCCATATATGCTTGTAAAACCACTAAATTTGGTAAAGCCAAAATAAGGGGAAAAATTTTTTTTTTTACATTAAAGTTTAATTCTTTTAATCTACGCGCCGAAAAAATAAATTATATTCGTGATCTCAATTAAAAAAAAAAAAAAGATAAATCTGGGATTTCCTTACGGAGTATTTTAAGTGAACGCAAATATGTACAACAAGGAATACTTTTTTTTATTATTATTATTAAATGATGATAAAAGTACAAATATTATATATATAATGATAAAGCTCAAAAAATTTTTTTTCCTTAAATCATTTTAGGTGTAGCAAATCTATCGATAAACCTCTTATTAATGATAAAATAAAAAATTACATTAATATATACACACATATATATTAATATTATAAAATTTTAAAATTTTAAACTATATCCGTTGAATTTGTGGACTTCTTCGCTTGCAAAACTAAGATACTCGCAGCAATACCGCCAACTAAAAATGATTCTGCTATATCGCCCAATGATTTACGAGTATCGTTGCCGTAACCACCACCTGAATTTTTAAGGATATCCAAGAATTCTGCTCTATGACTAAAAGTAACATCATGACGCCCACGTCCAACAACAACTAAATCCTTACGATCAACTACTTCCTTTGCACGTTCAATTGCCGTTTGTAAAGGTGTAGAAGAAGCTATTTCCGTATAATTTATTCGAGCATTTGATGCTACCACACCCGTACGTGACTTCAAGGTTTGTGTCAATAATGCCTCATCAGCCGCATAAGATGCATCTCGTGCAACGTTTGAACGAATAACGTGAGCAGATGCGGAAGATATTTTGTGAGCAAGCGAAGGACGTTGGCTTTCTTCGACATTTGATTCCGCATTTTCTTCAAGATCGCCCTCAACTTTTAAGGTCACATCATGTTCTGTGGGTTCAGATGATTTAATTAATCTGAGGACAGTGACTGAAACATTCGGATGGTCAAGTAAATGGATTACAAATGACAATGCCTCACGATCATCGATACCACCAAAGAATGGTAAGAAAACGCGAACCGTAATATTATTACCAACATTATCAATTGAGGTCGTTAAAGGAGACGAGCCAAGTCCACGATCCACAAATACACCAACATTTGCTCTGATGGATACTTCTGAAAAGATTTCTTGAATAAAATGCGCAACTTGCGGACTCGTCACTTTCTTTACTCTTGGTTCAAGAACCTCATCAAGAGGATTTGACGGATCATCAATGATTGCACCTGCACCTCCCCAAGGAATGACTACTAAATTAACATCAGTATCCTCAGCCTTTTCGGAAACTTGCTGCGCAAAGTCTTGTTGTGCAACGACAGCTAGATTTGCTTTCACCTTGACAAAATTTAATTGTCCAAAAGTTCTGAAAATGTTCATGATTGGATCATACAATGTAGTTTCTTCGGTTTCATTAAATTTCATCACAGAGGAGATACGTTGAGTTAATTCAACGAGACGTAAAACATGAACGGTCATCGAAGAACTTGAAAGATCTGTTCCGAGAGTTGGCTTCTCCTTCTCTGCTACTTGATGAGCTGATTTTTCGTTTTCTCCCGTATTCGGTTTAGCTTTCACACTTTTCATAGAAGCTGATAAGGGTTGTAATAATTGAACAAGCATCATCATTGCCGGAAGATGTTCAACTCTATTAAGAACAACCAGCAATCTATTTTTCTTTGCCGAGATGGAATCTTCACCTGGTTCTAATTGAGCGGCACGTTTTAGTTCCATTTTCCTTTGATATTCATGTGGATATAACCATGACGCTAAAGGAGTGGTAACAAATGTTGTAACCAATGCCCTAATAAAAAAATTAATTAATTAATTAATTTAATTGCCAAAACTTTTGAATATCATTATAAAAATGCAGTAATCTATGCCTTACATGGCAACCATGATCACGAAAACTTTAGCATTGATGACTTTTGCGTCGAGTCCGATGTTAAGAACGATTAATTCAACAAGACTATTTTTTTTTTTAAAAAAAAAAAAAAAAGAAAAAGAAAAAAAATCAGCATTTTGAAATTCATTTCAAATAATAGAGATAACTTATATATCATTTAAAAATTTACCCTTTGCAACTCATGAAAACGCCAATTGTCAATGACTCTCTCCAAGTCAACTTGTTGAACCTAGCCGCAAGTGTAGCACCTGAGATCTTACCAAACATTGCAACGATGATTACCAAAATGACCCATCCCCAAGCTTCACCATCATTTAAGAGACCAATTTCAGTTTTTAATCCAGACAAGGCGAAATACTAAATAAAATAATAATCATATAATTAAAAGTAAATCACGTAAAATAAAAAAATATATATATATTGAATGATACTTACGATGGGTAAAAACAAAACACTAATTAAGTCTTCAATCTTCTCCGTTATACCCAGAGCGAAACCACCTTCATGTGGAATAATAACGCCCATTAAAAACCCTCCAAAAATTGCATGCACACCAATAATGCTCGTAACGAACGAAGATATTAGCACAAGGGATAAAGTGATAGCCATCATCGTAACAGTGGGTCCATTATCATTACTTCCAGTTCTGACGATAAGTTTTAGCAAGATTGGACGAATAACAACGAAAACTACCGTTACCCAAGCGACTGCAAGGAGGAAGATATATAAGGCAGTAAGCGAAGAACTTGCATTAATGATCGAGACGACCAAAGCTAACAGAACCCAAGCAGCCACGTCATCTCCAACACCCGCAGTAAGAGCGGTAACTCCAACTGGTGTTCTAAGTAGTTGAAGTTCTGATAAAATACGTGCGAGTACAGGAAACGCCTACCATGAAATTCAAAGAAATAATTTGGTTAATTTTTTTTTCTTCTTAAATTTGGTTTGAGAAATCAAAGCAATAATCTCTTGAAACGAAACTTACCGTGATCGACATTGCCACACCAATGAAAAGAATAAAAGTAAAGAATGACACGTTGTCGTTATCCATTACACGATATAATCCATATCCAACGCCAATGCCAAGAGCGAAAGGCAGTATGATACCCGCAGCAGAAATCGTCATTGCAACTCTCGCATTCTTCTTCAAGATTTTTGGATTCAATTCAACACCGACTATGAATAAGAACAAAATCAATCCCAAATTCGATAGTAAGGACAGGTGAGGACGTGATTCTTTAGGGAAGATTGTATCCATATAATGGGGTATGCGGCCTAAAACTGATGGACCAAGGATAATACCACCGACAATTTCAGAAATCACGCGAGGTTGTCGGAAGCGCGACAAGATGACGTGAAGAATACGCGTGAAAAAAATGATCATTATCACCTTTAAAAGAAGGGTCAAAACGCGTTAATCACAAACATTAATCAAGTATTCAATTTAAAGAACGAAATTAAATATCTAATAATAAATTACTTGTATGATAAACAGAGTTATAGGTTCGGCAGCATTATAATGGGTCGGGTTCGCACCGGTAAGGACACCACCTTGTTCTTCTGCCATTTTCTGCTAATTTGAAATATACAAACACTAAGGTATATATAATGAGCTTTTGACCAACGTCTCAATCAAGGATGAGGTAACGAACGTATTCACTTTCAAAATTGAAATTAAATATTATACATTAGAATGAGGAAAAAATGTATGAAAAAGGATAACAAAATAATAATCGTAGAAACTACGATTATTGGGAATAATATTTTTAACCGCGGGGTTTTATAAATAATAGGGTAACACGCACTTAACAATGATTGAGAAAACAATAGTGGAATTCGGGGCACAAAGTTGGCTATCGACGTGAAAAATTTTAATGGGTCGAGATTCATTTGGGCGTTTTTTTTTTCATTTCCTGTCGTGTAACAACTTGTTGAGAATTTGAATCGGCGTAAATAGGGGTGATTAAAATTCTTTGGTCATGAAAAAAAGGACGGTTTTAAAAATTAGAATGTCTTTGACGTCGTACGAATACATCATTTCAAGATATAATGCAAACAAAACGCAATTTACACAAAGATCATGATTGTGACACGAAGATAATTTATCATTTAATTAAGTTTATGATTATCCATAAAAGGATTTAGCAATTTTGAACCCCCTATGCACCCTATGCACCCTATGCAAAAAGGTCATAGGAATATCGGTACCCCTTTCTAATTGTACTAACTGTGGTAAATCCTGGGTGAAAAACCTGAATAAACTACCTTTTTTGGATATCGAATGTAATAAATATACCCTGGGTATTTTAAGTAATACTTTTCTACCAAGTACTTTCCACACATTATTACTTGACCAAATTCGGTTCTTGATCCCGTTTCCGAATCGATCGACAGTCATACCGATTTTTTAGATCATCATCTTAAAATCTTTTTTCATTATAATCGGGATTTTTCTTTCCTTCTCCGTTCGAATTTCTCAAAAAAAAAGATTGAAAAGAGGTAATTTGTTCACCAATTCACGATAGTACGACCAAATTTTGTTATGATGTTTATATTTATGATTTAATGAGTTTGAAAATGAGCCTAGACAACTCTACGAATGTAACAAACTTTAACTTACTGAACTACAATAACAATTTCATCACAAACTCACCAAAACGTAGTTACAATCTAATTTTATGTTTATTTTATTTAGAAAATTGCTGGATACCATTCATCCGATTTTTTTTTATTTTATTTTTTCAAAAAAAAGAAAAAGAAAAAGAAAATAAATTAATGATAATTATGAAAACGAGATATCAAATATTTATGTATTAATTTTTTTTTAGATAAATAATAATAATAATAAATTTAGGAACATTTAATCGAGCAGAACCATTAAGTCAAAATTTAAGTTGCAATAATTTACAAATAAAACTACATATTCTCTATAATAAAATTACATCTATCCAATATAATTGAAAAGTCCATTTAAGATGATACAGCCAAATAATTGGGATCATTATCAATATTTAAACTATGATCTTTAGTAGGGGGGAGGTCAGAAGTATTGCTATTGTAGCTACTTCCCCTTGAAGTGGAAGGTCTAGGCGAACGTTTCTTTTGTCCTTTATTTATTAACCTTGTACGTTCATCAGGAAGCAATGGTTTACCATTACGACCCAGTAGTTGATCTGTTTCACTGACATAAAATGGTCCATGACCGAGACGTTTTGATCGAAAATACCAGCAAATACACATGATGAGAAGTATTCCTTGTAAACATCCTGAAACAAAGAATACAATCCATGTGGTCCATCTAGTACCGGGTCTAATGTAAAGTGTGTAAACAAAAATAAATGAAGCAGGAACTTGCATAAACATCATCGGAATGCTAAGCGCACCAACGGACTAAACGAATTAGGTTATAAGAAACAAGGCATTATTAGTAATTGAATATAATTCAATTTGATTATTAAATGAACTTAACATTTACCTTACGCCACCATGTTCTGTATAACTGTGGGATAAATTGAATAGATACAAATATCATGGACGATACACCCAAGAAATCTGCCCACCCTTTCATCCAATTGATATCTTCATGACCATAAAATAATAAAAGGATCCCTGTAATGGTTAGAGTAATGATAAAATGTATTGTAATAATAATGGAAACTACGATAGAGTTACGCCACTCAATTGACCATCTAGTTGGTGGGATATTGAAATGAAGATGACGAATATATGGTGCAAGTTTTCGATGCGAAGGAAAATATAACATGAAAAGGATTAAAATTAACATGAACGTAAACCATTGAATCGCGAGTTGAATGATACCTAACGTATTCTCCAAACACGTTATACCAGGCTAATAATATAACATACGTAAGTAATTGATGAATTATAATTATAAAAAAAAATTTAATAAAATAAAAACTTACTACAATTCGACAACATTCAATCATGTGAAATTGTAAAATTATAATATTAAAAAGACTACAAGTTGCTGATATTGTTCCAAATAAAAGGAACCAGGGACTAATCCCCTCGCTCGATTTGTATTTAATAATTCTTGATACCTAATTGAAATAATGAATATCCATTTAATATCTTGACTTTATGTTATTTGAAAAATTTATGAAGAAATATACACCTGAGGGACGCAACTTATTAACAAGCCAAGTGCGACTAAAACACTCAACGATACGTCAATCGGTTCATTATCTGATATACACGTAATAATTTCTTTATCTCTTAATGAGTGTAACATTTTGAACGCATCACTTAAATTATAAAATAAAATTTAAAATCTCTCAAGGCTGGAAAAAAAAGGTGATTAAAAGTTTATGTGAGAAAAGTGAAAATGTGTGAAGCCGCAAAACCGAATGTTTTGTTCATATACTTTTTGATCTGCCCAATAACCGTTATTAACATTACCTAATTGGTTAGCTTAAATTAAAGTAGTACCTCGATATAGGTATTAGGGAGTAATCACAAAATCCTTAGGCATATCTATAATACTGTATAAGGAAGGTTATTAATATTAAGAACCGAACATGATTTATAATATTATCCTTTCACCTTGGAGAATAAAATTATATTAGGTAAAATCTTTTTATTTTCTTTGCAAGCAAACGGCTGATAAATCGCACTCTGGGTTTGAACAAACGTTCAGCTCAAATATCGAACGGACAAATCAATAACAATATTGCAAATATTGCTTTTTTTAAGCAGACTATTTTATTATACAAGATAAATTAGCAAAGAATGTATTCTATAAACAGGAAAAGTAACCATATGAGCTACAACTTTCTTATCCTTAGATTTTCTTATGACGTCTTGACTGAGCTTGATCGCTCTCTATCAACGTCATAATGTCTGATATGCTCAATTTGCATTATTAACCCGAAAATCCTTTGGTCTAACTTACTTTCATCTTCCACAGATTATAGCTAAATTTTGACAATTCCTTGGCCTTATTAGTCGATCTACCCCAGTATCGCCAACACTTTTTTCACCCCCATATTTGTCACCCGGAGTCATACCCTCCGCGTTTTATTTTCATAAGTATTCCAGTGACTTGGAATTTTTCAAGTGGTGAAAAAAATATATTTCACGTCCTTTATGTGTCATCGATCACGTCGGGGTGAAATTTTATAAAAGTGTGGGGTAGATTATTAGTCGAGTAGAATCACGTGATACATTAATTTGTCCCGCCATCCGATCTTCAATTTTACTATATGGGACCTTTGCAATAGAAAGGGAGGAAATTGCCGAGAAAAATAAAAAATGAGATAATGTCATGAAAAGTAAAATTTTCTGCCCCTTTCTGCAAAAGTCCCTATTAGTCATTCGGTTCATTTCTTAATGCCGTAATGCCGGCCGAAAAGCATCAATTCAACTCCGCTATAAACGATCACGAAAATAGCATACAGATTAGGCTAGAAATAAGTTCACTTTATAAATGATATTTTATAATTTTTATTTTAAATAATTATACATTTCTATGATAACAAAAATCAAAATTTCTATTAAATAATATCTAACATTTCTGATTAATATATAACATGTAGTCTAAGAAAGTAAAAAGAATTAAATACAAATGCAAAAGATTTTTAATATTTCAAAAGTAATTAAATACTGAAAAATTTATAATTACTTTTCATATTTTTTGCAATTTTATTTTATTCTTTTATATAATAAAACTAATGATTTACTTAGTGATCCTAGTATCTTCATTATTACTAATTTTAATAAAACTTTAATTATTTATAATTTAAAATTAATTTTATTTTGTGATAATTTATTTTTCAAAATTATTAAAGTATTAATACTTTCTTATTTTTATTAAAGATGATAAATCAAAAATAAACAATCAAAATAAGAAATAAAATTATTATCTTTAAATTTAATTTAAAACTTATAAAATAAAACATATTACATTTTTGTATTTTATTTGCTTTTTATAAAAATATTTTTAATTTAATTTTTACTATATAAATTCAAAAAATCATAAATTAAACAGGTTAAATTATATTTAAGAAACTTTTAAATATTTATAAATTTAAAGCTTTTGTTTTATATTTAAAAGTATATAATATTTAGTTATATAATGTAATACAAACGATTTGTATTATGAAGATTATATAACACAGCAGAAATAATCTACAAATATTACTATTATTATACAAGTCGATTGCGAAGTCTACCAACTGAAAAGTAAACTTCAACGCGTATAACAACATTTTAGGTATCTGAAGGATAACAATTTATGTTAATAATCCTAAAGTCTTGTTGGCGTCAATAGAATTATCAAAGTAA